TCCTCCGCCGTACCTGCTTAGCAACACAGAGCTCAGGGAATCTCCACGGTAACCAAATTTTTCCAGACATGAGCTCCATAAATCCTCATAGAAATGCTCAGAAAGGACCAGGCTTCCCCGCTTGAGTATCGAATCTAGGACAGAGGACTCTGGAGCCAAAGGCTCCCAGGGCTTCTTGTGTGCATTTTATGGCTTGAAGGTCACTGCGGCTTCATCAGCAACAGAAATGAGTTTTCAGGAGGTTTTAAATATACCTAAAATAACCTATTTGGCAGGCACACTAATAAACTAAGCACATCTGATTTTTATAAATAGAGAAAAAAAAAGTAAAAAGTAAAAATACAATGAGCGACTACTCCTCAACCTATCTCACAGCAATTCACATGAATTAATATGATCTCATTTGTACAATTTAGTAGGATTTGCTCATGCCCCAATGATGGTAAAATCGTACATTTTCAAACCACACCATGTGAAAACCTCAAAACATTATGCAATTCTGAGTGTGCCTCACTCAGGTGAGTGGGTTTGACAAACCATCTGTAGAAAACACACTCTTTTAACTCTGACACTTGCACCAGTTTTGCATTTGCACCAGACGCTTTCTTAAAATTAAGGACAGTAAATGTGTATAGATGTGCTGTCAAATTGCAAAAAGAAAAGAAAATACTTCTGAAATCATATGATAAGTTTATGTGAGGAAGAGACTGAAATTGATATGATTTTTAAAATGATACAAAACACACACACAAAACTAGTTTAAAGTGCTATGGTGATTATAGTTTTAATACATAAACAAATTACCAAAATGTAAGCAGACAAGTAAATATGTAAGTAAGCAAACAGGCCAGCCAGCCATCAAGCAAACAAGCAAGCAAGCAAACAAACAAACAAACAAACAAACAAACAAACAAACAAACAAACAAACAAATAAATAATTAAATAAATATTGTCTTTTAACTATGCAAAAGAAGTATTTCAGGAGGTTTCAAATAGCTAAAATAACAAATTTAGTGTAAATAAATAAATAAATAAATAATTTTGAGTGTGTCTAACATGAGTGAGTGGGCTTGATAAACCACCTGTAGAAAACACACTCTTTCATCTCTGACACTTCAACCGACACTTGCACCAGTTTTGCACATTTGCACCAGACACTTTTCTAAAATTACTCCATATCTCTAAAAAAAACATTGCGGGTTTATTAGGGTGCTTCTTAAAGGTTAGTGGGCTTGACAAACCACCTGTAGAAAAATTATTTTCTCTTCATTGTCTCTCTCTTAATATTTTTATTGCATATTTATTGCCAATGTGTGAACAGCTTGACATGAAACTTAGTACTAATCCCAATTCTACCCTTTAGCCCTTACCCCTACCCCTCGTTTTGTGCGTTCAGGTAAAGGGGTAGGGGTGTCCCAATTCTCTTTAGCTTGAAGGCATAGGGAAGGGGTAGATCAAACTTCGAACTGAGATTTTTAAGGATCGCATTCAAAACCAGGGGTAAGAAAATTTCCCAGAATATACCAGCCACAATGGCAGCAATTAGTATTTTTTGTCATTATTACGATTTTTTACAACAAAAAAGCACGTTTTAATATATTCATAACCACGTTCGTGTTTTACCGTCATGCTTAAAAAACACACTAAATTTAGCTATCTATAATGCCTTACAATAACTTCTGTATAGCAGTCCCACACATCTGTAACTCGAAGACAAAAAAGTCTAGTCAAGAAAGTCTAATGGCTGGGAATGATCGCTTTACAGTGTCCGCTATAATGTTAATGCTGTTTTTGGGTTTATTTACATGGGTGAGTATGACCACTGTGCAAATGCACAGTACAGTTACGATCTTATTGCCACATTAGATCGTCATGATAACCTGATATATGCCTTCAGTGATTTGCTGAAGATAAATACCAAAAAATAAAGCAACTGGAATAACTACAGCAGTCACGATCGTCTGGATTCATATGAAGCAAGAGATTGCGATGACATATGATGACGTGTGCAGGTGCTGAAGTGGTGTCCAAATTCATAGAGGTAAATTTTGAAGCTCTTCCCCTTCACACTCTGTTTCAAGGGCCAAGGGGAAGGGGTAGAGGTATAAAAATAAAATTGCGATTGGGCCTTATTGAAACCTCCCTCAATTCTTAGGTTGATTCCTAGACTGATTTTATATCCAGGATTAAGGATGTTTTTAGTGGGAACACTGAAGATTACTTAGTTTTTTTAAAAAATCTTGTTTCCAGTCCAATTATCTAAAATTTCTTCAATCAAAAAGCATTATTCTTAAAAAGCAAAAAATATATTGTTTCAGAAACAATATGCCAGAATTAAGTGAGTTTTTCCTTAAAACAAGCAAAATAATCTGCCAATAGGGTGAGCAAAATAAACTTCTGTCAAAACGAAAACACAATTATTTAGCTTACCCCAGTTCTGTCAAAAAATGTAATACAATTTAAACTCTATTCCCTAACCCTGACTGTAAATTATTCCCAAACTCATGGAAAATTGCTGGGTATAGATGGAAACAATGGTTTAAAAATTTATTTTAAGCTCATATACAAATGTTTCCTTCAAATCTGATTGGATGATTGAAATTTTGTTGTCAACAGACGTTGATCCAGGATATTAGCCCCTTTCACACATACAGACCTTTCCGGAAAATTGCCGGCAATTTTCCGGAAAGGTTGTATGTGTGAACAGGTCCTTTTTGAAAATACCGGTAAATTCGTTCTGGCTATTTTCCGGAAAGAGAAGTTGTAACATTACCGGCAATTTGCCGGAATGCTGCGCTGTGTGAATGCAGAAGGAAGATTCCCGTAATAAGCGCGTGCATGTCTAGAACGTGCTGACGTGAGACGTCTGCTTTAGCCAATCACAACAGTCAGACGCATTTACGTCCGCGCGGTTTTTGAGAATAAAAGCCTTTGAATATTTTTCCAGACACATTTAGCTGCTAGAAGTTAGTCAGATAACGTTTATATGTTCTTCTTAATGCCAACTGTGTAAATAATCATCGATGAGATGCTTATGATAAGCCGTTGTTATTTACCTTCAAGCTTTGCGTGCGCCTATGAGCGCCTGAACACGCACATATTATGAACATCTCCACATGCGAAAGTGATCCTGCGAAAGTTGTTCACAATATTGATCTTAAATAAATCTTAAATATTGATTTAGTCAAATGTTTACAAATACAAGCGCAGCCGTTTAAAGCTCATTTGTGGTGAATGATGTCAGAATTTACCGGTATTTTGGAATGGATATGTGAATGCTCTTTTCCGGAAAATTTCCGTAACGTCCTCGTCTGTGTGAACAGTGCTTTTTTGAATGTACCTGTAAAGTCGTTCCGGAAATTTTCCGGATATTTACCGGTATCACTGTGTGAAAGGGGCTTATGTTGCACAATCAAGTTCTGCATTTTAACTTTCAACACAATTCTTGAGATTTTTTTGGGAAAACCTAATTATTTTATGTTCAATCCACTTAAATTTTTTAGGTTAACTTAATCAATTTGTGTTGGGACAACATGCATGTATTCATTCATTCATTCATTCATTCATTCACTCACTCACTCACTCACTCACTCACTCACTCACTCACTCTCTCAACCTGTAGTTAAATGGGACTCTTTTCTCTTTAATTTACCCCATAATAAAGGAATGGGTAACTATAGCAACTGGAATTTATCTATCATATATATGCATCCATTATAAATACACACACACTCACGGTACATACGTATCTATTGTTAGAACAGACATGTCAATTTTAATCTCTAATCAAACCTTCACTCATCTCAGTGTGACCTTAGCACTCTATTAATCTGTCACAGTACATTCATTTATGCAGATTTTCTGCATCAGGTCGGCTGGAGGCCAACAGTGCGTCATAAAATCCTCCAAAAGTCAGAAAATCCGTTTGGCAACAGAGACCGTGGGGAATGTATGAACTGTAGGCAATCATTATATTCAGACCTCAACGTTTCACATGATAATCACAGATATTTAGGTTTCAATATAACCCCTCACAAACCTAATCAACATAGATTTCAAGAAAACGAAAACAAACAATTAAAAAACCAAAAGCCTCACTGACATCTTCCCAAAGTTAATCATGCTCAGGACTGTATTTTTGCAGCTTGAATCATATGTTTTGTCTTTAAAAGAGTGACAAAATTCTAATACATTTTATTTTATTTTCTATACTGCCTTTAAAGGTACGGCTCAAACTGCTTCACACAGAAGAAAGCAAAAAATAAACAAAAAAAAGGCATTAATAATAATAATAATAAAAGCTCAAATGAGCATCATACATTTAGACTCTACCAAATAAGATAAAGCCATCTTTAAGAACAGATTTCAAAATAAAAGATTCAGTCTGATCTTAAAATGGAGAAAGTTCTGGTGTTTAGGTGTGCACAACCTTTCATTGGAACGAGTAGGGTTTTTTTCAATGAATACATGGATTGGAGATCATGACTAGAAGTGGAAACGGTTTAAAGTAATGTTGAGATCAATGTAGACGACAAATTTTGAAGTAATCCAAAAAGCTGTTTCAAACATGATGTCACATGTTGCCTTTTGTAATTATATACACCGATTATGACATACCATAAAGCACAATGCTGTGAGTAATTACAATCAGATTATTTATTATTATTATTATTATTATTATTATTATTAATCAAACACAGCTGTTTTTTAAATATCTATAGTTTTGTGTAATGATGTCTTTAATTTCTCAGCCAAATTTAATATGCAGTTAGTTTGCAATTTGTTTGAGTCATTAAATTCATTCATTCATTCATTTTTCTTCAGCTTATTGCTTATTTATCAGGGGTCACCACAGCGGAATGAACTGCCAACTATTTAAACATGTTTTACGCAGTGGACGCCCTTCCAGCAACAATCCATTACTGGGAAATCTGTGGATTTCTGCATCCGCAGATTCCATGTAGGCCTAGTTATGAGAATTGTTGAAAGATGAAACTCACCAAAAACAGTGCGGGCGGGAACAGACTCTCGGTTCAACCAGAAGGAAACCTGGGACAGGATGACAGTCATGATGCACGGCAGGTACGTCTGAATCACAAAATAGCCAATCTTCCTCTTGAGGTGGAAGTGGGCCGTCATCACAGTGTATTCACCTGTGGGGGAGAGCAAATGAGAATGGAGCAGAAGTCCAGATTGAAACATTTTTAAGTAAATGCAATCAACTGCCAGGAATTAATACTACATTATTGAGTATGTGATGAGTGTGACTGAAATCTGACATGCAAATAACTTATTGCGAAAGCTCAGCGATAGTCACATCAGTCTCAATGGAAAATTCTCCATCATGTTTATCTAGAACACCTAAACTTTTCCATACAAATAAACACACTGTAAAAAACAAATCCGTAATTTTACGGTTTATTTCCGGGGTGCTGGAAAAATATATATATTAATATATAATAGGGATGTAACGGTATCAGAATTTCACGTTACGGTAATTCCTCGGTATGAATGTCACGGTACGGTATTTATAAAAATCATTTACAGGAAAAAAACAAAACTTATGAAAATACTCCAAAAAAGTGCCAAAAGTGTCAATGACATACAAATTAGCCATCTATCTGTAAGCTTTGAAACAGGAACTTCAATGTTAATAACAAAAAATTATTAAACCATGTAAAAAAATAAAGTTTCAATTTAGTATTGTTGAAAACTCATCACATTCAACATTTAATCACTCACTCACTCACTTAGATAGAGATGGGCTTTAAGGAAAATTATCATATAACTATAATCTGGTAAAAGCTGGTATCTCTGGGCATTTACAATGTCCCCTGCAACAGAAAAAACCCCTCTCATTTGGGACTGAAGTTTCTGGGACAGAGAGATATGACTTGGCCCAGGTTGACAGCAGTGGGTAACGTTGTGCATTGTCTTTCCCCCACTTGAGAGGGCAAACCATGAGTAAGATAGAGGTCTCATGTCTGCATCAATCTGAACAGTGTGCTGTGTCACACCCTCCGTCCCGCCCTTCAGTAGGCGCGCGACAACACCGCTCTTGAGTATGCGTGCTCAACCCCCCCCCTCCCCGCTTTACAGTACGCGCGCCACAACACAGCTGATCAGAACGCGCGCAACTACACCGCTATTCAGTACGCGCGCGACAACACAGCTGATCAGAACGCGCGCAACTACACCGCTATTCAGTACGCGCGCGACAACACAGCTAATAAGAACACCCGCGACAACACAGCTGATCAGAACGCGCGCAACAACACCGCTATTCAGTACGCGCGCGACAACACAGCTGATAAGAATACGCGCGACAACACAGCTGATCAGAACACGCGCGACAACACAGCTGACCAGAACGCGCGCGACAACACAGCTGATCAGAACGCGCGCAACAACACCGATATTCAGTACGCGCGCGACAACACAGCTGATAAGAACACGCGCGACAACACAGCTGATCAGAACACGCGCGACAACACAGCTGACCAGAACGCGCGCGACAACACAGCTGATCAGAACGCGCGCGACAACACAGCTGATCAGAACGCGCGCAACAACACCGATATTCAGTACGCGCGCGACAACACAGCTGATCAGAACATGCACGACAACACAGCTGATCAGAACATGCACGACAACACAGCTGATCAGAACATGCACGACAACACAGCTGATCAGAACGCGCGTGACAACACCGCTATTCAGTACGCGTGCGGCGACAACACCCGCTTCAGGTTCGATCGTTTCCAGCTCTTTTTGATGCCCGCTTCTAGCAGCACACTCCATTTCCGCATTACTGTATCTGTAGCGACAACAGACCGCAAGGGATGATGGCCACCCCTGGGCTGATGGGAATTGTAGTTTTCGCTACCTCCCGTTCGCTTCATTCGCCTGAGCAAATTTTCTCAGAAGACCTATAGTTTTACCGAGTCATGCGACTACGGTAATATCGAAAAAAATTTATATCGCGTATGATGGTATTTATAATACCGTTACATTCCTAATATATAATATATATTCTATTTTAACTAAAAACACCTAAATAATTCCTTTGTCGAATCAACAAATGATAATTTATGCAAAATACAGCTTGATCGTTAAGAAATGTGAATGTGTGTAATAATAAATCAAATTCCCCAAATCACTTTCAATCAGGACGTGTTGACAAAATAACGAAAATCTGCCTCCTTATTAGAAATCAGGCCAGGTGAAGAAGCGGATCACCCCCTAAACAGAACATCAAAGATGAGATTCTGAAACGGGTATGGGATATTCTGGAAGAGCTGATGTCACAAAGCAGAGGAGGAATGTAATTAGAAAGGAGAAGCTCTTTGAGGGACGCCACAATTACACCGCATCTCACCAAAACCAGGATGAAAAGAGCAGGTCAGTCTGAAGGCGCTCCACAGAGGAGGTTTGTTACCGAGCGAAGGGGCATGAAAAGAGAAAATCTCCTCGACATCATCATGAGCTTTTTAACCTCATTATCACAGCGCATTATCCCAACAGAAACGTGGCAAACCGCCTGGAAACAGAGAATCTTCACCAGACTTGATGAAGAGAGAACTGAGATGCAGAGGAAGACAGCGGTTGCCCATAGCAACAAAACAGAGAAATCTATCCGCTGTCTTTGAATGTTTGGATATTTAGAAGTCATTTTAATCTAATAGGTAAATATGTGCTTTTTAAAAATAAATAAATAAATAAAATTTTTTATATATATATATATATACTTTTTTAAATGTTTCCCAAACGATGTTTAACAGAACAGAGATATTTTCACAGTATGTCTGATAATATTTTATCTTCTGGAGAAAGTCTTCTTTTATTTCAGCTAGAACAAAAGCAGTTTTTAATATTTTAATAACCATTTTAAGGTCAAAATAATTAGCCCCTTCAAGCTGTGTTTTTTTTTTTCTTCGATAGTCTACAGAAAATTACCTAATTAACCTAGTGAAGCCTTTACATGTCCCTTTAAGATGTATAGACGTTTCCTGAAAAATAATCAGTTATTAGAAATGAGTTATTAAAACTATCATGTTTAGAAATTTATACACATATATATATATATATATATATATATATGTTATTAGTACCGGGCAAAAATTAATCGTAATTAATCACACCCAAAATAAAAGTTTGTTTTGATATTGTAGCTTTTGTGCTAACAAGGAGACATGGAGGCAGGAAACAACTGAACGTTGCATAACCATGTATGCTTGTGATTGTCAGTGCTGTGTGAATTGTGCCTATTAGTCAGTAATGACTGAGGTGCTTGTATCTACTCCCACAACCTAATGTGTGTGTGGTGTATATTTATTACGTATATAATGACATATATTTAAGAAAATGTAGATATAGTTTGTATCACATAAACATATATGTTATTGTTATATGTACATTTAAAATAAATGTGTAACAAAATTATTTATATACTTTATAATTGTGTGTGTATATATATATATATATATACTATGTATGTATGTATATGTGTGTGTGTGTGTGTTTGTGTGTATATATATATATATATATATATATATATATATATGTATATGTATTAATACATTCATTTTCTTTTAGGCTGAGTCCATTTATTAATCCAGGGTCAACGCAGCAGAATGAACCACCAACTTATTCAGCACGTTTTACACAGCAGATATCCTTCCAGTTGCAACCCATCTCTGGGAAACATCCATACACCCTCTAACACTACGGACAATTTAGCCTACCCAATTCACCTGTACTGCATGTCTTTGGACTGTGGGGGAAACCAGAGCACCCGAAGGAAACCCACATGAACGCATGGAGTACATGCAAACTCCACACAGAAATGCCAACAAACCAGCCGAGTCTCGAACCCGCAACCTTCTTGCTGTGAGGCGACAGCACTACTTACTGCGCCACCGTGTTACCCCATATACTGTATACATATTTATAGCGGCGATGCGGTGGCGCAGTGAGTATCACTGTCACCTCACAGCAAGAAGGCTGCTGGTTCGATCCTGCCAGTTGGCATTTCTGTGTGGAGTTTGCATGTTCCCGTATTCCCGGAGTTCCCGTGTTTTCGTGGGTTTCCTCCAGGTGCTCTGGTATCCCCCACAGTCCAAACACATGCACTATAGGTGGATTGGATTAATTAAATTGGCCATAGTGTATGAGTGTGTGAGAGTGTATAGGTGTTTCCCAGTAATGGGTTGCAGTTGGAAGGGCATCCGCATATGCTGGAATAGTTGGCAGTTCATTCCACTGTGGCGACCGAAGGTAGAAGGAAAATGAATGAATATACAGGGGGGCTAATAATTCAGGAGGGCTAATAATTCTGACTTCAACTGTATCTCTACTGGCAAGCATCCCTCAAGACAGATAAAACCGAGAAATTGGTTGCCAGTGGCAACAGAAGAGAGAAATCTCTCTGGTTTGTTTGTATGTCGGTGGTGGACGCCGCAATGCTGCCATTTGGCACAGAGGGAATCTCCTAGTCCTTTCTGGAGAGGAAGCACAGAGCAATTTTTAGCCAGCTCTTATCTTGTAAAATCCAGTCTTTCCTACTTTTTTTCCCACTGGAGTGCACACTGAGATGCCTTGCTCCTTTCAGAAAGGCATGAAGGGAAGCTCAGTGTGGACAAAATCAGCACCCTTGAGGCTGAGCCATGCACGTCTGCTTTATTTCATTAACAGTGCGAGGAAATGTAAATGTGCACACACACAGAGAGAGAGAGACACACACACACAGGAGCGGGTGAGAGTTCAGGGCTGTACGTGTGTTTGAGAATGTGTCTCTACTAAATAAGGAGATTAATAATTATGAAGAGTCTCCGTACCCTCTTAAAATTTGACAACACCTGATGTGCTGTGTGTCTAGCATTTTAAAGCATCATCATGTTTATTAATTCTAAATGAAACATACGAATCAATGGTGCCTTCACAAATAAATGATGCAAATTAAGTCATTAAATAAATTAAAGTATAATGATAATAATGATAATAATAATAATAATAATAAAGAAAAAAAATAATTATTAGTTTTAATAGTAACAGTAATATCAATACTACTACTAATAATAATAATAAATAAATAAATAAAGATAATTATTTGTTTTAATAATAAAATATTAATAATAATAATAACAACAATAAT